CTGTTGTCCTTCAGCAGCAGCCAGGCTTTCGTTGGCTTGTCTGGCCTTGGAGAGACACAGCTCACCCTCCTCTCTGCTCGTGGCCTCTGTTTCTGTTTCTTGCCCCCACCCTTGGCCCAAATCAAGTTGTCCTTGGCCTGCATCTGAGATCAAAAGAGGTACGGCATCACCTGGAAGGGTAATAAGGAACATTGCTGTGGTAATTGTAATCAGGACACACTTTCTGCACAAGCCTGTAGTCTACGCTGTAGAAGGTGATGTAGATACAGATGACCTTGAAGGGTTTGGAGCAGACCCAGGAAACCTGGCTTTGTGTGTGGTTCAGGAAGCAGGTTTTAGAAGGGTCGTAAGTACACAGGGTCGTTTTCTTCGCTCTGTCTACTTTTTCAAACTCTACCCTGCAGTTGAAGATCTTGGATTCTTTTGCCTCGATGAAAATTTGCTGCTCCAGATCAAACTCCACAGCTTTGTTGGGAGGCACCAGGCTGACAGAGATGTTCCCCTGCCCTGTTGAGTTGTGCCGGAAGAAGACATTGACGGTGCCGTTCCCATGGTCAACCACTTTACCCGTGATCAAGAGGTTCAGCTTTACCGTCTTGATGTTGGAGTAGAAATCGCCCCAGCCAAATATTTTCTTAAGCCGGCCAGGGCCAGGGCCCAAGTCCCTTTGGCTCCGCAAGGATTGCAGTCCTTGGCCCTGCTTGGACAAGCTATCTAAGACATCCCAAAATTCTTGTGTGTTGGTAGAGGCCAATTCTAGTAAGGTTGTGTTTTGGAAGTGAGAGGGGGCTGCAGCCGAAGAAGACTTCAAGGAGAGTTGGTTTTTCTTCTTATGTACTCGGGATCTTGGTTGCTCTTTGGGTGATTTCCCACTTTCTTCCTCCTCCTCTTCTGTTGTCTCATCTTGGCCGCAAATCACCTGCATGGGAACAATAAGATCTATGAATTCATGAAGGGCAGTCTTTTTCTGCCATGTAATTTAAGCTGGCAGAGTGAGGATCTAGAGCAGTGGTGCCCAACCTTGGGT